GGTACAGAGATATTTAGGATTTTTTTTTTTTTTTGACAGTGTCTCACTCTGTCATCCAGTCTGGAGTGCAGTGGCATGATTTTGGCTTACTTAACCTCCACCTCACAGGCTCAAGCAATCCTCCTGACTCAGTCTCCCAAGTAGCTGGGACTCCAGGCATGTGCCACCACGCCCAACTAATTTTTGTATTTTTTGTGGAGATGGAATTTCTCCATGTTGCCCAGGCTGGGTTTTTGTTTGTTTGTTTGTTGTTTTTGTTTGTTTTGGTTTTTGTGCCCAGGCTGGAGTGCAGTGACACGATCTCTGCTCACTGCAAGCTCCGCCTCTCGCCTCCCGGGTTCACGCGATTCTCAGGCCTCAGCCTCCCGAGTAGCTGGGACCACAGGCACCCGCCACCACGCCCAGTTAATTTTTTAGTATTTTTGGTAGAGACAGGGTTTCACTGTGTTAGCCAGGATGGTCTTGATCTCCTGACCTCGTGATCCGCCCGCCTCAGTCTCCCAAGGTGTTGGGATTACAGGCGTGAGCCACTGCGCCTGCCCCCAGGCTGTGTTTTATAATGAATGTCATCGTTGATTCATTGGTATATGTTGTATTTCTGTCTCTGACCCCTCCACTGGTGTCTGAACTTGTATATCAAACTACAAACTTAGTATATCAACCAAGTGGCCTCATAGGCATTTTAAACTTCAGAGCAAACCAGAACTCTATCATAGTTTTCTGCTTTCAAAATACCATTCAACCAATTGTGCAGGCCCCAAACTTTAGTGTCATCCTTTATTCTTCTCTTATCCTCACACTCCACGTCCAATCCATCAGCATCCCAACTCTACCTGCAAAATATATCTTGAATGTGTTTACTTGTCACCTCTGAATTCTTGGCACCCTAGTCCAGGCTACCATAATATCTCGCCTGCACTAAGGTGACCATCTCCTTACTGGTTTCTCCTTGCACTGGGTCCCTGTTCATACTATTTCCATTTCTGGGGGGGGGGGGTGGTTTGCTTTGTTTTGTTTTGTTTTGTTGTTGTTGTTTTGAGATGGAGTCTTGCTCTGTCACACACGCTGGAATACAGTGGCATGATCTCGGCTCACTGCAACCTCTGCCTCCTGGGTTCAACCGATTTCTTCTGCCTCAGCTTCCCAAGTAACTGGGACTATAGGCGCCTGCCACCATGCCCGGCTAATTTTTGTATTTTTAGTAGAAATGGGGTTTTACCACATTGGCCAGGCTGGTCTCGAACTCCTGAACTCGTGATCCACCTGCCTCAGCCTCTCAAAGTGCTGGGATAACAGGCGTGAGCTACCGCACCTGGCCTCATACTATTTCTCATATAGGAGCCGAAGTATACTTTGGTGGTTTTGATTAAAGAAGAATTTTAAGGCCAGACGTGGTGGCTCATGCCTGTAACCCCAGCACTTTGGAAGGCCGAGACGGGTGGATTGCTTAAGGTCAGGAGTTCGAGACCAGCCTGGCCAACGTGGCGAAACACCATCTCTACAAAAATACAAAAAATAGCCAGGTGTGGTGGCACACGCCTGTAATCCCAGCTACTCAGGAGGCTGAGGAAGGAGAATCGCTCGAACCTGGGAGGTAGAGGTTGCAGTGAGCCAAGATTGCACCACTGCACCCCAGCCTGGGCAACAGAGTGAGATCCTGTCTGCAGCCCCCTACCAAAAAAAGAAGAATTTTAGTAGGAACTGGATCATGTTTAGCTTTAAAACTCTGCAATGTTTCGGGTCCCCATGCTTACCTGTCTTCTGTTTCATTCCCACTCTTGGCCCTAGAGTTAGGCCCTATCTTAACGTGGTGTTTATCACCCCAATGCATGTCTTCCCACTTCTGCTATATATGTCTGCTCAGGTCGCCATCACAAAATACCACATAGTGGGTAGCTGAAACAACAGCTCTGGAGGCTAGAAGCCGAAGATCAAGATGCCAGGAGGGTGGTTTGGGTTAAGGCCTCTCCTTCTGGCTTTTAGACAGTTGCCTTCCTGCTATGTTCTCTCATGGCCTTTCCTCTGTGGGCATTGAGGAAGACAGAAAGAGAGCACTCTGGTAGCTCTCCCTGTTTTTATAAGGACCCCAGTCCTGTGAGATTAGGGATTCACCTTATGACCTCATTTAGCCTTAATCGCCTCCATATAGGCCTTATCTCCAATACAGTTACTTTGGGGGTTTGGGCCTCAATGTATGAATCTGGCGGGGAACACAATTCAATCCATAAGACTATGTATCCCTAAAATATAGGCAGGTAAATAAATAGGCAGGTAGGCAGGTAGATAGATAGAGTTACACTGTGGTAAAAGATTATATAACTATATTATATTTACATCAACTAATGAAACCTAAGGAAATTGCTATTAGTAATTTTCCACTTAATAGTTGTGCTATCCTCCACCAAAAACTCATATTAATCATGTTTTCAAGAACTGTTTCCAAGCTCTAGTTTTAAAAAATCTATATGTGAATTCAAATTACAAAGTAGTAAAATCACCTCTGAGACTTCATGATATGATTTACACAACATGATGGAAATTATGATTATACAATTTTATATTCTTCATCTTTACATCCATATACTTGAAATCTCTCCCATCTGAAATAAGTATTCTGTGATCATACGAATTAAACTTTAAAATGTTTCTTAGTCCAGGCACAGTGGATTACACAGCTATAATTCCAGCACTTTGGGAGGCCAAGGAGAGTGGATCACTTGAGCCCAGAAGTTTGAGACCAGCCTGGGCAACATGGTGAAACTTTGTCTCTACAAAAACGTAGCCGGGTGTGGTGCACACCTGAAGTCCCAGCTACTCAAGAGGCTGAGGTGGAAGGATTGGTTGAGCCCAGGAGGTAGAGGCTGCAGTAAGCCAAGATCATGCCACTGCACTCCAGCCTGGGCAACATAGTAAGACCCTGTCCAAAAAAAAAACATGTTTTTTAGAGGTGTAAGGATGGGATGAAGAGAAGTTGGTAAATGTGTACAGAAATAGTTATAGAGAGAGAATACATTCTAGTATTCAATAGCACAGCAGGGTGACTATAGTTATCAATAATGTATTATATATTTCAAAATAGCTGGAACATTTGGAATGTTCCCAACACAAAGAAATGATATCTATTTGAGGTAAGAGCTATCCCAATTATCCCAATTTGATCATTACACATTGAATGCATATATCAAAATATCACCAGTACCCCATAAATAGGTACAATTATATATCTGTAAAAAAATTTTTTTTTTAGGAATGAAGCCAAGAACTTTATTTCTAATAAAAAGGAAATGTCTTTTTAAAAAACAAAATCCTTTATTTAAAATTAGGTGGATTGAGCACACCTGCAATCCAAGCGCTTTGAAAGGCCGAGGCAGGAGGACTGCTTGAGCACAGGAGCTGGAGACCAGCCTGGGTAACAGAGTGAGACCCCATCTCCACAAAATAAAATAATAAAAACATTAGCCAGGCATGGTAACATGCACCTGTAGTCCCAACTACTTCGGAGGCTGAGTCGGGAGGATTGCTTGAGCCCAGGAGATAGAGGCTGCAGTGAGCTGTGACTGTGCTGCTGCATTCCAGCCTGGGCAACAGAACAAGACCCTGTCTCAAAAAGAAAAAAGAAAGAAAGAAGAAGAAAAAGAAAGAAAGAAAGAAAGAAAGAAAGAAAGAAAGAAAGAAAGAAAGAAAGAAAGAAAGAAAGAAAGAAAGAGAAAGAAAGAGAAGAGAAAGAAAAAGAAAGAAAGAAAGAAAGAAAGAAAGAAAGAAAGAAAGAAAGAAAGAAAGAAAGAAAGAAAGAAAGAAAGAAAGAGAAAGAAAGAAAGAAAGAGAAAGAAAGAAAGGGAAAGAAAGTAAGAGAGAGAGGGAGGGAGGGAAGGAGGGAAAAGAAAAGAAAAGGAAAGAAAAGAGATAAAATTATGTAGAGAAGAAAAATGTTATTTTCAAAGTCTTTTAACTATTCAAGTTTAGTGTAATGAAAAAAGTACAATCCATATCTGGCACTGGAGTCATCATATTTCTAGTAAATTGGTTAAATTTTCTTTCATTACACCTCTCAGAATTTTGTCCTTTTGAGGAAGGCAAACAACTCAGCCTCGGCAATACTGTGTCTCATTTAACAATCTATTTCAGTCTTATTCTTGGCAGTTAGCAATGACCTGGCGCTGTTGACACATTTTCAGTGTGTGTGGCTACGTGTGAAATGCTGCCATGTTGCTATCTTCCTACACAGTTCTCCCCTTTGATCACCAACCTTGTCTTGTCTCCCACTCTCCCTTGCAGCTCTAATTGTTTTTTATTCCTTTGAAACCATCTGGAAAAAAAGAAGGTCCTTAAAGAATAGTCTCCTTTCCAGTCATTGCTGCCAACTTAGAAATATTTCAATTTCTTTCTTGCTGAGTATTTTTAGTTTGTTAAGAAGATTTTTTCTTCCCACCTAGCCAAGATTAGTTAAAACCTAGGTCTACCCAATTGTCCTCCAGCAGTAACATCCCAGGGCCCCCAGGTGTCACAGTGGGAGGATTACAGGATTTAAATCAAAACATTTTATTTTATTTCAAGTCATAATCCTACCACTTTCCCAGCTAGAGACCTTGGGAAGCCACAGCCACTCTGGGATTCAGTGTCCTCATCTGTAAAATGGGGGTGATCATACCACCTAGTTTTCAGGGTTGTTTTAAGGATTAAATAAGTGAACGTACATGAATATCCCTTGAGAAGTGTAATGCAGTGATGTTAATGTTTGCTCAGTTCAATAAACATTTCTTTAATAACTAATAGGGGTGGCAAACTCAAAGGACTACAGGTAACAGGTAACGTAAATGCATGCAGCAGGCAGGGTTCCATGCCTCAAGGAGTGGGGAAGGTGTGTGTCTGGAGACCTTGAGCTCACAAGCCTGTCTGAGGACAATCTTGGCTCAGCTCCAGTCTACAGTTTCCATCTCAGAAAAAGATCTAGTGTTGGCCAGATGTTTTGATTTTTCAAGAAAAGCTAGAAAATATGATCATTTCAATGTGAAATCTTTTTATTTTTAAATGTTGACAACTCATTTTTAAAAATCCCTTTGTGGGTGAAAACGCAATCCTCATCTACCAGCTGAATGTGCCCCACAGACCTCCAGTTTTGCCTACTATGTGCCATATACCATGGGAGGCCCTAGGAATGCAAAGAAAAAATATATAGTCCGTGGTGGACATGGAGATGCAACTGCCTTGATCCCCTTTCGAGAAAGGATGTGCTGCCCAGCTGCAGGGAGTGCTGTCAGCAGATGGCCCTCAGCTGTCAGCCTCTTCAGGTACTGCTTCAGCTGCAGAGCTGCATCACTCATGGTCATGCCCCTTCCTGGTTGGCCCATACCTAATAATGGGTGGTGGCAGGGGTGTAAAGACCTAGCTACCTCACACCAATTCAGAACAACGAAAGGCCATTCCAGCTCCAGAGCTCTTCACGGTGTCAGGTGAGACAGTTGTCAGGTTTGCATCAGAGCTTCACTTCACCTTAGGTCCATTCCTGTTTCCTTGTCTTCCTTTCCACAGGTGATGATCCAAAGGCCCACATACATATTTTGGTCACTAAACTCCATCTCAGAAGCAGCTTCCTGGGGAATCCAGCATGCAGCATGATCCTTGATCTCAGGGAACAAATTGTATGATGAGCCAGGTGGACAGATGAATTCAATACTGTGTGAGAAGTGCTAGGATAGACACATAAAGAAAAAGCGACAGGAAGGGAGAAGTACACCAATTCAATCAATGAGGCTCAAGTTCTTCCTGGAGTGAATAATCTTGAGATAATTTTGAAGGTTTTTAAGTATATAAAGAAGGAAGAACAGGCCAGACTCAGTGGCTCACGCTTGGGATTTGGCTCAGTGCTGCCAAATCCCAGCACTTTGGCAGTCCAAGGTAAGAGGATCACTTCAGGCCAGGAGTTCAAGGCCAGGCTAGGCAACATAGTGAGACCTTGTCACTACCAAAAAAAAAAGAAGAGAGAAGAAAGGAAAGTAGAAAGGAGAGGGAGAAGGAGGAGGAGGAAGAGGAGGAGGAGGAAGAGGAGGAGGAGAAGGAAGAGGAGAAGAGAGGAGGAGGAGGAGAAGAAGAAGGAGGAGGAGAAGAGAGGAGGAGGAGGAGGAGGAGAAGGAAGAGGAGAAGAGAGAAGGAGGAGGAGGCGGCGGAGGAGGAACAGGTATTTCAGGCAAAGCAAACACTGAAAGCAAGCAGTAAACAGACATCCAAGAAACAGACGCCATATACATGGAGGATCAGCAGCAGTTTGGTACTAACAGAGCTTAAAATGTTAAGTTGGGAATGGGCCTGAGATGAAGTTGAAGAGGAAGTTTTAACTTAAGAATTTGGCCTTGATTCGGTAGATAAAGTGAACTGAAAATTTTTCCTCCTAGTTTACTAAACACTTATTCTTTCTTTCCTCCAATAAGCTTTATATGTTGGTCCTTCCTGGAGTCCATTTTCATTCAATAGGCATTCCTTGAGAAGTTTCATCTTCTATCATAGTTGAAAATCTAGACATGAGCATCCAACTCATCTCCACGTAAATGGCCCATAGGAATCACAAATTCAACATGTCCAAAATCAAGTTCATCACCTGACTCTCCTACACCTCATCTTTCCAAATTTCCAACCTTAGTGAATACTAGCACTGTCCACCCAATTGCTCAAGCTAGGGTCCTAAGCATCAGTCTTGGTTCCTTTCACTCCTTTACACTCCAAATTCAGTCTTTTTTAATGTGTCTTATAAATAATCTCACTTTAATATATTTCTGATCACTCCATAGCCAGTGCCACTTCTTTAGTTCAGTCAGAGCTCTTTACAGTTGGCTCATTTGCCTCTAGTCTTATCCCCTTTCAAGTCTATTCACCAAATAACTGCAAGAACAATCCTTCCAAAGCACACATATGATCATACCAAGCTTCAACCTAAAGTCCTCCAGGGGTCTCCATAATCTTTGAGATAAAGTCCAAAGTTCTCAACAAAATTCATCATCTGATACTGATTTCACACTGTCTGCTTCACACGCAATATATTACTTTCAATTCCTCCAGCTCTTTATGCCCTCTCTCACTCCAGAACTTGTACCAGCTTGCCCACATAGTCTGAAATTTCTTTCCCTGGCTGTCTCTCCTCTCCTTCTCTTCACCTGGTTAACCCCTGTTAGTCGTTCAGGGATTAACATATGTGTTGCTTTCTCCACCACCTTTACCCCTATTATAAGCTAAATGCCTTGGTTATAATTCTGTCATCGCACCTATCAACCTGTCCTTCTGTCTCTCTACCACAAGATACAACTGAATGCGGAGAACACATCTATTCATTCCCAAATGTCGCTTAGCACATCACTTCCAAATAAATGAATGAATGAAATACATTTTATTTCTAAATGTTCCCTCTGATAGCAATGGGACTAATTGTTTCAAGAGGGAACTCACTAGAGGCCAAGAGACACGTTACAAGAGGCAGTGATGACCTAAACCAGAAAAGCAGGAGTGGCAAAAAAGTAGCTATATGGAGAAATAGCTTACAGATAAAATCAGCAGAATTGATGATTGGATATTGGGGCTAAGGGAAAGGTTATGGTATGAAATAATTTTTGGATTTCTGATTTGGGCACCAGGATAGCGATATTTTAACTAGGATATAATACGAGAGGAGAAGCAAGTTGGATAAAGGGCATAGCAACGATGAGTTTTAATGAGTTTGCTCAGGGCACGTTGAGGATGAAGTGCAAATGGAAAGACCAGGGGGACTTATTTGGACTTTGGCATATGGAGTGGGGGGAGTAGTAAAAACCATAAATGAAATGGCATGATGAGCCGGGCATGGTGGCAGACGCCTGTAGTCCCAGCTACTTGGGAGGCTGAAGAATAGTGTGAATCCAGGAGGCGGAGCTTGCAGTGAGCTGGGATCGTGCCACTGCACTCCAGCCTGGGTGACAAAGCAAGACTGTGAAAGAAAGAAAGAAAGAAAGAAAGAAAGAAAGAAAGAAAGAAAGAGAGAAAGAGAGAAAGAGAGAAAGAGAGAAAGAGAGAAAGAGAGAAAGAGAGAAAGAGAGAAAGAGAGAAAGAGAGAAAGAGAGAGAGGGAGGGAGGGAGGGAAGGGGGAGGGAGGGAGGGAGGGAAGGAAAGAAGGAAAGAAAGAGGGAGGTAGGGAAGGAAGGAAGGAAGGAAGGAAACAAAGAAAAGGAAAGAAAGAAAGAAAGAGGGAGGGAGGGAGGGAAGGAAAGAAGGAAGGAAGGAAGGAAGGAAAGAAAGAAAGAAAGAAAGAAAGAAAGAAAGAAAGAAAGAAAGAAAGAAAGAAAGAAAGAAAGAAAGAAAGAAAGAAAGAAAGAAAGGGCATAGTGAGGGCGAGTGCGGTGGCTCACACCTGTTATCCCAGCACTTTGGGAGGCTGAAGCAGGCGGATCACCTGAGGTCAGGAGCTTGAGACCAGCCTGACCAACATGGAGAAACCCTTTCTCTACTAAAAATACACAATTAGCTAAGTATGGTGGCATATGCCTGTAATCCCAGCTACTCAGGAGGCTGAGGCAGGAGAATCGCTTGAACCCGGGAGGAGGAGGATGGTGTGAGCCGAGATCGTGCCATTGCACTCCAGCCTAGACAACAAGAGCAAAACTCCATCTCAAAAAAAAAAGAAAAGAAATGGCAAGGGGGAATAGTTGGTGTAAGGAAAAGGTCAAGCACAGTGCCCTGGGAACATCAACTTTGTTACAGGTTGTGCTAGATTTCTTCTTTTTGCCCTCTCCAGATCCATTGTCCATCCCACCCCAGGAGACTGACCTATATGGACTACGCCAATGGGCTTCCTTGCCCTCTGGTTTTGCTTTGGTTTAGTTCATGAGAAAGACTACCAGTAGATAGAAGGAGAGAGAATGACATCCAGGTATTTATTCTGCAGCTCACTCTCTGCTTCATCCCTTTACCAACTACCTCTCCAAGTTCCAGCAATGGCCCTCCCTACCTATCAGGGCCAGGTGTGGTAAGGAAGCCTCACTGATACTAGCCAGGGGTACTGTCCTAGTCCTTCTTGCTTTTCCTAAGCCATACACACTTTTTAAATAACTCTTTTATTAAAATCTCCCCAATTACGGCCAGGCGCGGTGGCTCACGCCTGTAATCCCAGCTCTTAGGGAGGCCGAGGCGGGCAGATCACCTGAGGTCGGGAGTTGGAGACCAGCCTGACCAACATGGAGAAACCCCATCTCTACTAAAAATACAAAATTAGCCAGGCATGGTGGCACATGCCTGTAATCCCAGCTACTCCAGAGGCTGAGGCAGAAGAATCACTTGAACCCAGAAGGCAAAGGTTGCAGTGAGCCGAGATCGTGCCACTGCACTTCGGCCCAGGCAACAAGAGTGAAACTCCGTCTCAAAAAATAATAAATAAATAAATAAATAAATAAATAAATCAAATCTCCCCAATTATTCAGCTTGAAAATGCCATTATTTTCCTAAAGAGACCCTGAGTGATAAACAAAGGATGCTAGGAAAGAGAGGCAAACTAATCTGATAAACGAACTCTATCACGGTGCCTTAGTAGATTACTCTTCCCAAGTAAACCGAGTTATCTGAAAACTAAAGAATAACCCTAAAAGTGGAAATTTCAGGCACCAGGATGAAGGAGGAAGTGGTTGATAGCCAGAATGAACGTAACGGCAAACGACTTGGAAATTCTTAAGGATTAAATTCCAACGAGGCATATTCCAAAGGACTAAATAACTCTACATATAAGTCACTTCTAAGTGCCTGTGGTGACATGGTCTCATATTATAATAAACTTTGTAAGAGTTAATAATGGCAGGGGTTCCAAATAACTGAGTATAAAATACTGGTGTGTGGGGATCTAAAAGGATAGCAATCTTGCTAACTTAATGAGAACTAATTAACGGGGTCCAACAGCTGAGCATCAACATAGCACAAAAGATATGCAAAAATATTAAGAGAAATTCAGCTGTCTGCTCCATTGGAACCACAAAGAAGTAATATTAACATATACGGTTGTATTAAAGATAGGATTTTGACATACATGTATATGGCCTCAACATTATTTTGAATACATTCAAGCTAGACAGTGGCCTTTATTGGAGTTCTTCACATTGTAAACTGTAGGTCACGCTGACTCTGGGCCAGTTCTGTGATATCCCCTTCCCTGTCTGTATCCTCCTGGTCATCTTTACTGCTCCACAATGTATGACTCACTTCCTACATGAGCCCTCTAAACAGATTCTACTTCATTCTAGGCAGCTGTTGTCGTAGCTACAAACCCTCAGGACCCTTATACTGCCAGCTTGTTTACGGAAATTGACTAGAATGCAAATTTGATTTGTTTTTCTATGATTTAGCCAATCAACCCTGCAAGAATGTAGAAAAAAAAAAATAGTGGGGGCAACTCAAGAACAATTAAAATATCAGCTGGGCACAATAGCTTGTGCCTGTAATCTCGTGATTCCGGAGGATCAATTGCGGTCAGGAGTTTGAGGCTGCAGTGAGCTATGATGGTACCAGTGCACTTTAGCCTGGGTGACAAAGTGAGACCCTGTCTCTAAAAAAAATTTCTTTTTTGTTTTTTGAGACGGAGTCTCGCTCTGTCGCCCAGGCTAGAGTGCAGTGGCGCCATCTTGGCTCACTGCAAGCTCCACCTCCTGGGTTCATGCTATTCTCCTGCCTCAGCCTCCTGAGTAGCTGGGACTACAGGCACCCGCCACCACGCCCGGCTAATTTTTTGTATTTTTAGTAGAGACAGGGTTTCACTGTGTTAGCCAGGATGGTCTCGATCTCCTAACCTGGTGATCCGCCTGCCTCGACCTCCCAAAGTGCTGGGATTACAGGCGTGAGCCACCGTGCCCAGCCAAAAAATATTTTTTTAAGGAATAATTAAAATGTCAACATGTTTAGAAAGAGACCTATTCGTAACGCAAATATGAAATACTTTTGATGTTGATATTCAGGTCATTAGAACTCAGTGTCAATCACGGCGTTAGAATTTTGCTTTGACTTACCAATGAGCCAAAAAAATAAAAAAATAAAAAAATAAAAAAGGCAGCAGACCCAGAGCTTGTTTCCCCTGCTTAGCTCAAGTTAACAATCTAAAATCAAAGAAAAATCCCGAACTTCGAAATAACTCTAAAGTTCACCTCTTCTAACTTGCTTCTCCATTTGCTAACATCTTGTATGATGTCCCTGACAAAGTCACTTGTTCATGCATTCAACAGACACAAATTGAGCACCTGTTCTTGCCAAGCACCACTTATTTAACTCCAAAGATGAAAGCACTTTGGTTGCTACTTCCAAGAAACTCACACTAAGCCTGTCCTCGAATGGTGACTTCATGACATAAATCATTATGATCAAGTTCTCTTGAATTGAAATTGCCTCTGCACTACTTCCAGAAGAGAAAATTTGGTTCTGTCTTCACATAGTTTTAGGGAGTATTAAGTTTTTGTGCCGTCCACCCTGACCTCAAGATTTTTTGGCAAAACATACGAAGTTCACTCAATTACTCCTAATATGATTTAGCATCTAAAACACTCAGAACCCTGGTCACACTCCTCTAAACACATTCAAGTTTGTCAAAGCCCCTCTTCAAGTGAGGAGATCAAAATAGAAAATATATCACATTTCTATTTCTATTTTCTAGAATGACTTGGTTACTGACTTTTTTTTTTTTTTTTTCCTCTTAGACGGAGTTTCACTCTTGTTGCCCAGGCTGGAATGCAATGGTGCGATCTCGGCTCACTGCAACCTCCGCCTCCCGGGTTCAAGTGATTCTCCTGCCTCAGCCTGCCGAGTAGCTGGGATTACAGGCACACACCACCATACCTGGCTAATCTTGTATTTTTAGTAGAGATGGGGTGTCACCATGCTGGCCAGGCTGGTCTTGAACTCCTGACCTCAGGTGATCTGCCCACCTTGGCCTCCCAAAGTGCTGGGATTACAGGCGTAAGCCACTGCACCCGGCTGGATACTGACTTTTTCTAATGCAACTACAATTCCTTGGCCTTTGAAAACACTTCTGTCATTCTGCTATATGAGCATGGTCTTTGGAGTCAGACCCAAGTTCATATAGATAGATGATTTTGTAATCTTGGACAAGTTGCTTCACGTCTCTGAACCCTAACTTCATCTGAAACAGAAATAATCATTATTTACTTACAGATTTTTTGGTAAGGGTGAAAATATATGACATGTAAAGCCCCTTAGCACAGTACTTGGTACATAGTAGATGCTCAAAAAATTGCCATTGGGCTGGGCGCATTGGCTCACACCCAGCACCTTGGGAGGCTGAGGTGGGCAGATCACTTGAGGTCAGGAGTTCAAGACCAGCCTGGCCAGCATGGTGAAACTCCATCTCTACTAAAACTACAAAAATTAGCCAGGCATAGGGGTGCATGCCTATAGTCCTAGCTACTAGGGAGACTGAAGCACAAGAATCTCTTGAACCCGGGAGGCAAAGGTTGAAGTGAGTAGAGATAGCGCCACTGCACTTCATCTCAAAAAGAAAAAAAATTGCTAATTGATGCCCTTAATATCATTTTTATTTTCACAGACACAGCAATTGCTTTTCTTTTGAAACAGTGTCTCTCTTTGTCGCCCAGGCTGGAGTGCAATGGTGCGATCTTGGCTCACTGAAACCTCTGCCTCCTGAGTTCAAGTGATTCTCCTGCCTTAGCCTCCCAAGTAGCTGAGACTACAGGTGTCCATCACCATGCTCGGGTAATTTTTTTGTATTTTTTTGTAGAGACGGTGTTTCACTGTGTTGGCCAGGCTGGTCTTGAACTGTTGATCCCAGGTGATCCGCCCACTTCGGCCTCCCAAAGTGCTGGGATTACAGGTGTGAGCCACCACACCCAGCCTTGTTTTTAATTTTCCACAGAAACTGACATCAAATTCAGTCCCATCCTTCCTTTATTCAACTGATTTTCTCCCTGACATTTCAGACTTCACGTTTGTTATTGTAACAGTTCATGTGTGTTCATCTTCTCTTCCCAGTGTATTGAGATTTTCTTTAGATTTGAATACTGTTGTGTCACCTGCAGATCGGATACACCTGACCTTTAAGTCTTCATCCAGGTTACTGATAACGCTGCAAATAGAGAGACCAAGGACAGACAGCCCCATGACACACTAGGAGACCTTCATCAGGTTTATGCCTGTTCCCAGTTTTCAGCAGTTGTTTAATGAGTTGTGAATAGACCTGCTGCACTGACACCTTACACAAATGCTATTATCTTTCCATAAGTACATCCTAAGAGAAAAACTGGAGGATCAATTTGTCTCTGGCATCCCCCAAATCTATTTGCCTAGTAACTCTGTTACATAAGAAAATATCTGCTATGATTTAATGAATTTATACTGGCTCTCGATGCTTATTTTCTTTTCTAATTATTTATAAGTCATCTCTCTAATAATTCACAGTATGTCTTTTCCTCCTCCTTCTTCTTTGTATTAAGCAAAATAATAATGGATCCCCAAATATGTCCATATCCTAATGCCAGCCTGTGAAATTGTTCTTTCTGTGACAAAGGAACCTTATGGATGAGATTTTAAGGCTAAGGACTTTGACATAAGGAGAGCAGCCTGAATTATCCAATTACTGAATCCAATTACATAATTACATGAGTCTTTTTTTTTTTTCAGACGGGAGTCTTGCTCTGTTGCCCAGGCTGGAGTGCAGTGGCATGATCTCAGCTCACTGCAACCTCCGCCTCCCGACTCAAGCGATTATCATGCCTCAGCCTCCCAAATAGCTGGGATTATAGGGGCCTGCCTGGTTAATTTTTGTAGTTTTTAAAGTAGAGATGGGGTTTTGTCATGTTGGCCAGACTGGTCTGGAGCTCCTGGCCTCAAGTGATCTGCCTGCCTCGGTTCCCCAAAGTGCTGGGATGACAGACGTGAGCCACTGCGCCCGGTCTAATCGCATGAGTCTTAAGAGCAGAGAACCTTTTTCAGCTGTGGTCAGGGGGTGATCAAGTTCCCTGAGGGAGGTGCAATGTCACTGGCCACAAGCCAAGGAAAGTGGACAGTCTTTAGAAGTCAGAAAAGGCAGAAAACAGATTCTCCTCTACAGCCTCCAGAAAGGAGTGCAACTGTGCCAAAACTTGATTCAGTCCAGTGAGACCTGTGTTGGACTTCTGGTCTTCAGAACCATAAAATAATAAATCTGTGTTGTTTGAAGCCCCCAAAGTGCTAACTTGTTATAGCAGCCATAGGAAACTAATACCTTCTCATCATCTTTCTCCCACTCTTTTGTGAATTCATACTTTGAGTTAACATGGATTTTTTTTCAATTTCACTTGTGGCCAATTGGGGTTTAATTTGGCCAAGACATAGGAGACCAGGATAAGTCTGGTGAATAGCAGGAAGTCATCAGTTAATCTCTCAATAACAAATCATTCTTGTCTCTCCATTCATGTAGGTTGCAATGACACATCTGTGTAGCAAAACTTTGCTGGAATTGTAATCACTATGACTACATAACTGTATTTCTTTTTTGACACAAGTTCTCACTTGGTTATTAAGACTGAAGTGGCGTGAATATGACTCACTGCACGTTCAACCACATGGGCTTAAGTGGGCTCTGCCCACCTCAGCCTTCCAAGCAGCTGGGACGACAGGTGCACCACCACACCTGGCTAATTTTTTCCTTGTTTGTAAACAGGAAGTCTCACTTTTTGCCCAGGCTAGTCTTGAACTCCTGGGCTCAAGTGATCCTCCTGCCTCAGCCTCCCAAAGTACTGGGATTACAACTATATTTCTTTTTTTAAAAAAATCTAAAAATTCATCTAGTCTTCACTCCCTTGCACTTCTGATATAAATCAACAACATTTGATGTAGTTTTACTAAATATATTCTATGCTTAAAACCTGTACAATTATGTCATTGTGGAAGCTACACTTGTGAGCCAGAGCCCAACTCTGTCACTTACCAGTTTGTGACTTTCAATAGTTATTTCTTTCTGCACCTCAGTTTTCATACTTAGAAAAACAAGGACATTTGATAAGACAATCTCTAAAGTCTCTTTCTTACTCTAAATTGCTGTGTTTTATTAGAGTATAGACCAAAAAAAAAAAAAAAAAAAAAAAAATTGTCTCTGTTTCTTTGCCAAAAGGATAAACTGATTAAAATGCATTATTTCCTTTATTTGTTCATGCCAGTCCATTTACATGAAATGCACTCTCCTTCTCCTTTATTTTCTTTTATCACTTAGATTTCCAGCTAGTAAAATGCTCCTCTGCTTTCAAGTCCCAAATCAAATGCCACTTCTCATGAAAACTTCCTTGATCACAGCATCAGGAGGTAATCTTGCTCTCCTCTGAAATACTACGGCACTCATTTCCTGTAGGCTTATCACACACTGAGTTATTCTCCTTTGTTGCCATGTCTTGCCACTCTAACCACATTGCAGCCTCCTGGAGATGGGACCATGTTCCTTGTCTGCCAATCACAAGTGTTGAGTAAATATCCTGGCCGGGTGCAGTGGCTCACACCTGTAATCCTAGTACTTTGGGAGGCCCAGGTGGGTGGATCACTTGAGGTCAGGAGTTCAAGACCAGCCTGGCCAACATGGTGAAACCCTGTCTGTGCTAAAAATACAAACATTAGCTGGGCGTGATGGCACGCGCCTGTAATCCCAGCTACTCAGGAGGCTGAGGCAGGAGAATCACTTGAACCCAGGAAGCAGAGGTTGCATATCATCTCCTATCTCTCGGTTTCCTTTAACTTTTCCAGCTTCAGCCCAACAGCTCAACTGTCTCCCATTTGATTAAAAAAAAAAAAAAATTCCTCCAAAGGCCCCATATCCAACTCCAGTCCCATCCCTGGATCTCCCACTGTCACATGTCATGGAGGAGAGGAGGTGTGTACATCTACCCCCTCTATTTCACCACCTCCTCCTTGTGCCGCACTGCCATCTGCCTTCCACCCCATCACTCCACAGAACACACTTCTCCCAAGGCTACCAATGCCCCCAACTCGCTGTAGACAGTGGACACTATACTTATCCTCTAGGCATCACTTTCTGCTATTGACCAAGAACTCCTTCCTGAAACCCTTTCTTCCATGGCCCTCCGTGGCAGGACGCAGCTCTTTCTGCCTGGATGCTCCTTCAGTCTCTAGCGCCTGCTCTCCCTCCGTCATTCACCTCCCGCACACTCACCCTCCTTAGAGTTCTATCCTGGGCCTTCTGCTGCACTTGGTCTACAGGTTTCCTTGTACCCCTTCCATCCTCAAAGCACCCATCGTCCTATAAAAGAGCAAATTAGACTAGCAAGGCCTTTGCTCTCCGGAGGTTTATATCCTAATATGCAAACACAGACAATAAACAAGCAAATGAATAAATCCTAAGATAATTTCAGACAGTGATAAGTGCAATGAAGGAAATAATTAACTGGAGGAGGATATTTTAGGAATGGGGGTGAGAGAAGGCTTCTCTGAGGAGGTGACACAGAAGCTGAAAAAAAAATACCTCTGATTACAAAGAGCCAGTTCTGAGATGAACCAAGGAAAAGCATTCCAGGCAAAGGGAATTTACAAGTTAGAAGGTCCTGAGATGGAAAAGATTCTGCCCTGTTTTAGAGAGACAATAGGAGGTCATGGCATTTGATGAGGTGGCAGCAGGACGCTGGAGTCCAATGCAAACAGTCTTGTAGGCTGAGATGAGGAATTTGGATTTTCGTCTAAGTGCACAGAACAGCTATAGGTGATTGCAGCAGTCATTACTATGAATTTCCTACAAAAGCCAAGTGTTTTTTAAAATGCAGGTCTGTTCTTATCACTGCCCTGAGGAAATCTCCCCAGTAGCTTCCTATGCTCTTAGGAAGGTCTGAACCCTTGAAATGACCTCCAAGGGCAATCATGCCTGCTGCGATCACTTCCTATATCCAGGCCTGTCCTTGCCACAACCCCTTTGCCCTTCACATTCTAACTACACTCTAGTAGCTTTAGGTCCTTGGACACATTGGGCTTACAGTAAATTCCAGACAGTGCTGTCCAAGAGAAATATACTGTGAGCCACATGTATAATTTTAAGCTTTCTAGTAGTCACATTATGCAAATAGAAAGAAACAGGTGAAACTAGTTTTTTGCTTGTTTGTTTTTGAGACAGGGATTCACTCTGTCACCTAGGCTGGAGTTCAGTGGTGCCATCTCAGCTCACTGCAACCTCTGCCTCCTGGGTTCAAGCAGTCTTTCCAGCTCAGCCTCCCAAGTAGCTGGGATTACAGGCATGTGCCACCATGCCTGGCTCATTTTTGTGTTTTTTTGTAGAGCCCTATTAATGGGATTTGTAGTGTTCACCTGGTTGAAGCGATCACCTGGTTGAAAAGCAAAGACCATAGAGATAGGACCTCTTGTCAGTGTCAGGAGACATAAGGTGCACCTTTCGTTGTTGTTCTATTGACAGATGCGTTGTTATATAAGTAATGCATTTATTTGTTACAAAATTCAAAAGGTACAGATGTGAAGAGTAAGTCTTTCTTCATCCCAGTTTCTAAGCCATCCCCTTTCTGGAGACTACAAATATTACTCGTTTCTGATATTTACTTCTGTTCTCTTCTAATGGAAAAAAAATCATCTTACAGACTAACATTTTTCAGTTTTCTCAATAATGCGAAGAATGAAAGAACCAACAACCCTTCCTTAGAAGGCACCCTTTGGACTATTATCTGCTCTCGGGCATGTGCTACAGAATTAATGGATTTCTGTACTTTCATTTAAATGGGGAAGCAATAGAATTTGGAATTGAATTTTATTTTTATTTTTATTTTTATTTTTTTGCTATGGGAATTGAAATATTTTTATCCAAACAATTACCCTTAGTTGAGGTCTTTTCCACTGAAATATTACTAATCACTAAATGGAGTAGACAATTCTCTCTCTTTTTTTTTTTTTTCTTTTTTTGAGACGGAGATTCATTCTTGTTGCCCAGGTTGGACTGCAATGGCACAGTCTTGGCTCACTGCAACCTCTGGCTCCCGGGTTCAAGTGATTCTCCTGCCTCAGCCTCCCAAGTAACTGGGATTACAGGTGACCGCCACTATGCCTGGCTAATTTTTTTGTATTTTTAGTAGAGAAGGGGTTTCACCATGTTGGCCAGGCTGGTCTTGAACTCCTGACCTTGGGTGATCTGCCCACCTCAGCCTCCCAAAGTGCTGGGATTACAAGCATGAGCCGCTGCACTTGGCTGGAGTAGACAATTCTTTAGACTTACATATCACTGGCCATGTAAGGAGCATTAAATGCCCAAGTCCATCCTTTTACATGTGTAAGTGTTAGGTATTATTCAGTCTATGTCTAAGAGGGAAATCTTCAGTACAAAATGCCTTGACCAGTCAGGAACTGTGGCTCACATCTATAATCCCAGCACTTTGGGAGGCCAAGGTGGGAGGGTCATTTAAGCCCAGGAGTTTGAGACCAGCCTGAGCAACATAGGGAGACCTCATTGCTACAAAATACAAAAAATAAAAAACAAACCAAAAAAACCCCAAAATGATTTGACCAAGGCTGAAAGGTCAAGAAGGGAACACTTTTAGGCATATGATTATTGATTTTTATTTATATTCCATTCCAGTCTCCACAGCCCCAACCCCTTGCTTGTATCTCTCTGGGCCTAGCAAAGCCTCAGCAGACCCTACAAAAGAGAAGTGGAGCCAGACACCAAAAGATTCTCAGGGCCCATATGCTCTGACTCTTCCTGTCCCCTCTTCCCCACCTTTGGCCACCCGGGTAGCTGGAGAAGAGGTTCTAAAAGAAAGCACAGTTGGCTCTGGCCCCTTTTATCATCACAAGAATGCAGGTCTGAAAAAAAATATGTCTGTTAAAGGTACATTTTAAAAATGGTAAAAAAAAAAAAAAAAAAAAAAAGGCCAGGTGTGGTGGCTCAGGCCTGTAATCCCAGCACTTTGGGAAGCCAAGGCAGGTGGATCACGTGACATCAGGAGTGTGAGACCAGCCTGGCCAACATGGCGAAACCCATCTCTATTAAAAACACAAAAGTTAGTCAGGCGTGGTGGTGGGTGCCTATAATCCCAGCTATTCAGGAGGCTGAGGCAGGAGAATAGCTTGAACCCAGGTGCCAGAGGTTGCAGTGAGCCGAGGTTGTGCCACTTCACTCCGGGCTGGATGAAAGAGTGAAACAAAGTTTCAAAAAAATACATAAATTGGTTAAAATCTTTCAGATTTTGCTGTTTGAATGGTGTGTGTGTGTGCGCGCGCGCGTGTGTGCGTGCCTGTGTGTGACAGGGTCTTGCTCTGTTGCCCAGGCTGGAGTGCGGTAGCCCAGTCTTGGCTCATTGCAATCTCTGCCCCCTGGGTTCAAGCGATTCTTGTGCCTCAGCCTCCCCAGTAGTTAGAACCACAGACACTCACCACCATACTCAGCTAACTTTTGTATTTTCAGTAGAGACGATGTTTCACTATGTTGGCCATGCTGGTCTTGAACTCCCAGGCTCAAGCAATCCGCCTGCGTTGGCCTCCCAAAGTGCTGGAATTATAGGCATGAACCACAATACCTGGCCTTGAATGGCACATTTTCATAGACTTTTGCTGTTGTTGTTGTTGTTTTGAGACAGAGTTTCACTCTTATTGCCCAGGCTGGAGTGCAATGGCATGATCTCAGCTTACTGCAACCTCTGCCTCCTGGGTTCAAGCAATTCTCCTGCCTCAGCCTCCCGAGTAACTGGGATTACAGGCATGTGCCACCATACCCGACTAATTTTTGTATTTTTAGTAGAGACAGGGTTTTGCTGTGTTGGCCAGGCTGGTCTTGAACTCTTGACCTCAGGTGATCCACTCACCTCGGCCTCCCAAAGTGCTGGGATTATAGGCATGAGCCACCATGCCCAGCTGCTGTTGTTGAGACTGAGTCTTACTCTGTCGCCCAGGCTGGAGTGCAGTGGCGCCATCTTGGCTCACTGCAAACTCTGCCTCCCAGGTTCATGCCATTCTCCTGCCTCAGCCTCCTGAGTAGCTGGGACTAC